CATCTCCCCACACCCCCAAAAAGTATGGAAGTTTGAAGATTCATTCTGCCACATATTGATTCAAGCATAAAACTGTAGCGTGATGGACAAAGAAGCAGTGGGGTGCTCCAAAGAGAGGAAGTGTGTGAGGATAAAGAATCAAGAATATCGATTTTTTTTTTTTTTTTTTGCTCCTCTTCCACAACAAACAAAACCGGCCACAAGCAATGACTCGAATCTTGAAAAACATGCGAGTCAGGCCACTTGTAGAAATTCAACCACCTCAAATTTGAAACCGAGGGAGTCCGACTCGTCCGCTCCTTCAAGCTTCTCAGTGGCAAGAAAAATGACGCGCGCCGGAATGTGTGTTCAAGAAACGATGATGGAAAATGTGTCATATTGGGAGTGGGAAATCGGGAGAGATGGAAAAGCAGGGCAAGACTAGGAGGAGGGGAAGATGGAAGGAAATACCCCCAAGGCTCTCTTCCATTTTGCCCTTCTGATGGCGGCATATATTTCCCTTGTGTTGTGACCATCATCATCTCTTTCTCAGCGCGCACACACACACACACACACACACACACACACACACACACACACACACACACACACACACACACACACACACAAACAATCACTCACCTACCCAACTGTCTCACTATTAGCGTCTCAACAAAACATGGCGCCCATTGCTGTCCGATCCCGGTTACATTTGCAAAGAAAAAAAAAAAAGCATTATTGTACTCGTGCAGCGTTCCACTTCAGTCCACGTCATTATCATATTTTGGTTTAAAATTAGCTTTGCATATCAAATGTCTCTCCCATCTTTTCTTCCACATAAGAAAAGGCACTTGAGACAGAATTCAGTTGTCAGCTCTTGGGAAATATCTTTTTTTTTTCTTTTCATGTCCACTGCATCGGATAGAATGGCTGGAAAGCGCAAGGAGCGTCGACGTGACTGTCACCATCTGCAGTGGCGTCGTTTCGCACCGGCTTCTCCCATTTCTCCTTTGAAAGTCCCCAGCTACAAAGTCTTCATCTAAAATAGATATGAAAGCATTTACCCGCCTTGCAGGTGCTCTACATTTTTTAAAACCCCAAGACATGACTTCCATTCCTGTCTTCCACGTCTTTCCACTTTACGCTCTTGTCGACCTTTCCCTCCGCACGGACAGAAATGACAAGCTTCTCCCTACTCCCAAAATGTTTCCTATTATCTTCAAGTCTTCCTGGATCTCGCTGTGTGTGTGTGTGTGTGTGTGTGTGTGTGTGTGTGTGTGTGTGTGTGTGTGTGTGTGTGTGCGCGTGTTGCATCTGTGTGCTCATATGAGAGAAAAATGACGTTGCATCCATTCATCTTCTGTCTCCAAATGTCTGTTCCACTGCCTACCGAAGACGACGTGTTTGCCAAGACACAACCGAGACCATTCATGATGATTGTACGGTGATGCTATCTTCAGAGTCGACTGTACTCTCTCCCCTACCATGCTGATGAAAAAAACCAAAACAAAACGTTTGGCTACATTTAATGAAGCCGCTCATGCACTCACGCTCAAATGTCTCGACGAATCAGCATTGAGCTCACGGTTCATTGTAACTGCGGTCCAATAAAGCTCGTGCTCGGGGACACAATGCCATTTCAAATGAAAGCCAAGGCAGCAGCTGGCTTGTGATTATCCGCTATTGTCTGCACTTGCTGCCTTGCACCCCCCCCCCCAAAAAAAAAATGAAAAAACAATAACATTTTTAAAAAGGCAATCAGCTTGACAAAATGTAAGTGTGTTACATTTTCCACCTGTATGACCCGTTCGACATCAAACCGAAATGCCAAGCCGAACTGCTTGATTCAAACAGTAAAATATGATGTCATAACGATTTGCAGTTCCCGCGGCACAAGCTCAGTCCAGTAGTTTGGAAAATCGATGGAACGTTACAACCAGCGGAGTTCAAAGAAAACGTTTTCGCAACATGGACTGCACTTGGAACCGAGCATCCAATTTCTAAAGCATCCATCCATCCATTCATCCGAGCATGGAGTTGATTGCACACAGTTGCAACCCCTGCAACCTCAAGATTTTCCAACGAGTCCTTCACACACTGCAATTAGACCTTCGGTATCTTTCCCAAGGAGACTTTGACCAGTCCTCCATGTGCCTCAAGGTTCGAGCTTGACACTTTCCGAGTGGCCACTATTCGCTCGAGTGGGAAGAAATAAATAGGGTAGTCAAGGTCTTGAAGTTATAGTACCGTACATCAGCGATGTGAAGCAACCCTTGACCCGCGCCGCTCGTGAAGACAGCGAAGTGCGGCCCGACTCAGCTGTTAGCAAAGTGGGTCAAAGCAAGCTGGCGCGATCGCATGAATATTTAATGAAAAGAGCTCCAGAGTAAAGCCACTGCAACGGTCCGGTTGATGCTAAGCAGTGTTAAACATCAGCAGCATGACAGCATGTTGTTGACTCCCCGCGGAATAGTTGTTCCTTCAAATACAGGGAGCGGAGCAATAAAGCTGCATCACGGATGGATATGCATCCGTCAAAGGCTTTCTTCTTCCTTCGAGCCCGAGAGCCCACAGTGGCCAAGATGCGGGATGTGCTCAGAGCAAGAGGATAAAATACTAAAACATATACAATTCCCAATGAATAAAGCATCCTGGTTGTGAGTGGAGAAACACACACACAGTCTCTTTACGTAGCAAGAATTTTCCCTGCTACCTCGATTACCTTTTTGTGGCAACTTCACAAAAACATAAAAAGCAACAGAGAAGCTTTTGTACTGTCGCTGAACGCCAAATATGACCACATTTGCGGTTCAACTTTGGAGCTGTCGGCAAGAAAAGTTAAGGAATAAATGCAGCCAATCACATGGGCACATGAAGTACAAGGAGAAAAGCGGCAAGCATGGTGAGAACCAAGAATCGAACTGTGAGTCAGAAAATGCCAACCGCTAGTTTGACGTGTTGAGAACGGATTCCTTCAGCGCAATCCGTTCTCAACACAATAAATGATCAGAGCAGCGATTTGGCCTTCAGTTTTGAGTTTGAGGATCGCAAGATGAAGACTGTAGGGAGGGCTGAGCGCCATCTGTCAATATCAGGAGAGCCCGATGGCAGATCGAGGTGTCGGGAAAGAAAATAAGCATCTGCTAAAAGGCAGCGAAGCAGACGGGCAGAGTTAAGGAGGCAACAGTGGCACGCTACAGCCGGGGCGAACGGAAGTAGGTCACTAGGAAATGCAGAGGAACAGGTGCCATGTGGTGAAAAAGAAATGATGGCAATTGTGGCACTTTCTCTCCCGGCTTTGTCTTCATGGTTGTGTGCGCACATGTCGCAATGACGGGCAGCTCCGAAAGTCAGCAGCCTGTCACAAAGCCGCAGGCTTCTTGATAAATACAGTGTGGTTTAATTTACTCCTTCGGGCAGAACGACGCCGCGCTCTTGTCATCTATTCATAGAGGAACACCCACAAATGATGCACGCTGCCAATTAGAATTCAAAAAGCATTTGAGTGTCACTTTTCGAAAAACAGGTCAGTCTTTTGCTTTCATTTATTTATTTTTTTTTCTGTGTCCGTGTCTGTGGATTAGACACTCGAATGAGGGTTAACCTTCTTATCCACACCTTATTTAAGCCAATCAAGACCGCCGGGCCCCACTCCATACCGCGTGATTATCTCTCATGTGTGCACGAACACAGGTACACGCATGCTCGCCGAGTCCCGCGCCGCCGAGCCAATTTAACTCTAATTACATTTGAAAATGACGTGAGGTGCATGTGTTGCAGGAGTTAGAGTGGATGATAGTAAATAGAGAGGTGATTATATCAACTACAGTCAATAAAATCGACGAGGTTCCATTTGGAACAGAGTCACTAGTGGTTGAGCATTTGGTGACAACTGCGGTAGAAGCTCCAACCAGGAACACAATCCGTTCTGTGATGCTGGTTGATTTCAGAGCAAGATGCTCCCCCATACGAAAGAATGTCTTGATCTCCATTTTGTATCCACTGATGTGGGGGAAGCGGCGTCCTATTGCAGCTGTTCAAAGTTTATCGATTTCAATTTCTGCGATTGTTTATTTTTTTTTTTCCCCATCATTTCCTACATCAAGGTATCCCAGTTTAATCGCAAGAATGCAAACGGTAAAATGAAGCAATAATTGATTGGAGGAAAAAAAAAATCAACAGATCCACATCTATCGCCTCTGCAGGATGCAGCTGATCAATAAACACGCCGTTTGCCGCCGCTGTAAATCACGTTTGTGTAAATGTGCCATGAACCCCTGCGGGTATGGATGGAGGATTGTGGCAGACAACACTGGAGTGCGGGAGTGATGAATCTAACAATAAACCGAGGGAGGACATAAGAAAGGGGAAGATGCTCCACACAAGAGCTGAGGTAGAAAAGCAAAGCCAAAGACTCTTGACGGATCAGCCCAGCGGCCATTGAGATAAACGAGAAACTGAAATCTATCCTCACCATTTGCAAAGTTTTTTTTCATTTTTTTTTTTTAGGAAAAATGAAGAGAATAGCAAAACATATGTTCACCCGGAAAAAAAAAAACAGTTTGCACTTTCAATTCATGAAGCCACTTCACAAATGACGTACCGCAATCTGCACATCAATCGTCCGTCTAGTACCTTTACGCTGATTCATTTGTGCGTCACAAATAGAAAAGCGCAAGGTGTCATTTTTCAGACAGCAGTTACTCAAGGGGTTATAAGAAAAAAAGATATTAGGTTTCTGTTGTACACACACTTCAAATCGTGTATTTTCCTTGTTACAAGCATTTGCTTCTGACAGTATACAAGGAAAGGGAAAAATACGGATGGCTTCATATTTACTGTTTGCAAGTTATTGAATAAACGAAAGATGAATGCACAGTCACATATAGCACTGTGGAACAAGAGTGCCCCCAGTGGACAAAAACGTACATACAAATAACAATATAAACATGTGGTCGCTTCTCATTCTGTCGCGTTTTTGCTCCGTTTCATTCTGAACAATCTTCGTTGTGTGCCTGCAGGTGAGACTTGTGCAGCCCTGTCACGCCCACAGCGCCCCCTTTCTGCCCGGACGGCCCACCACGCCCCGGTGCATATGAAAGGGTACCATGTCAGCCGCAGCTTGTCCCAGCATTCCTCCGGTGGTGGCGGAGGAGGGCCTTGTCACTGCCCACCCGAGGACTGCGATGGCCCAGGCAGAGACTACTACCACGGTCATAACGACGGCCACTACTACCCTCCGGGAGGCCCGGCGGAGGCTTTGGCGCTGGAGAGACACCATTCCCACTCCCATTCTCACAGCCACTCGGGCGGGGGCACCTTCCCTCGCTCGCACCCCAGCCAGCATCCGCCTTTGCAGTCGTTTGACTCATGCGAGGAATGCTTATCGTCGGGTCACGGAGGTAAGATGCACCGCATCCCTCCGAACCTGATGGATCAGTTTGAGAAGCAGGTACCCTTCCATCCCGACGGCTTCCACACGCTGCAGTATCAGCGCACCACCAGCGGGGGTGCCGAGCAGCGCAGCGAGAGCCCCTCGCGTATCCGCCACCTGGTTAACTCGGTGCAACGGCTTTTTGCCAAGTCCCATTCCTTGGAGGCTCCTTCCAAACGGGAGTACAACGGCACGAGAGGAGGCGGGGACTACCGAGGTGAGAGAGGAGGGGGTCACAGGAGCGGAGGGGAGGACGCCGGGGGTCACTACTCCGGCCACCAGTCTCGCTCCGCTCGGAGAAACAAGTCTCGAGAGCGCAGTAAGAGCGGAGACTCTCGACACGAGTCGGGCAGACGACACCGCAGCAGGACGGCCGGCTGGTGGAGCTCGGATGACAACTTGGACAGCGACAGCAGCTTCCTTGTGAGTGGCGGCAGGAAAGGATATCCCGGCGGGCACGAGAGCCTGGATGCGGCCATCCAGGAGCTCACCATGAAGAGGCCCAAGGAGCGAGGCGGCGGGCCGGGGCCTGCCGAGTGCATGGCCTGTACCACCATTGCACTGGCAGGAAGCGAAGGAGGCGGACACCTGGCTCACCCCGGTCACTCCATGAAAAGGAGCACGTGGTCGGCCATGACGGTCAGTCAAGCCAGGGAGGTGTACCCTTCTCGGGGGGGAGGAGGCGGAGGAGGAGGCTATGACAAAGCTCTGGTGCCCGTTGAGAACAAACTCAAGGAGAGGACTCTGCATTATCTGCAGGTGAGCGCAAGCCTGCTTGCTGTGTGTCGAGCTGCGTATGAGGCCAAATGTTCGAAAATCAGCTGTGCAATGATTCACTCCGCAAGAACGGCGTTTAATGTTTTCGCAGCAATCTGTTCACTCATAACCCATCAAGTGTCGATTTGAAATGTACCGTATGCTAACGTCTGTTCTTACCCCACATGAGTATGATGACCGATTGGCTATCAACGGCAATTTTCCATGAGCATAAGAAGCAGAACCAACAATAACGCGTGAAGGCGGTAGACTTTAATGTTGATGCGCTCCACAAAAAAAAAAAACAGCATGAATTTCAAAGTAACGTTTAGCTCTGACAAAAGGAGACGAAGAAAAAAAAAAAGAACATGAGGTGACGTCGCCGGTTGGAAAATAAGATGCCGTCACGTCTCAGCGTGGTCGTAGTGCCTCACTTAATTCATCCCTTAGCCACAGCTGAGGGCTGAAGATAAAAAGCAGGGGCGGGCATTTAGACAAGCCCGTGAAGTCCGACACATTGAGGCGGGGCCTCAGAGCAGCTTCCTGCAGGAGTTGCTGATCCACATCTACGCTGCCAGTTAGTCTCCTGGATACGATTTACATCAACGCGATTTATCCTTCTCACCCACAGGTTCCACCGGATTCATATTGTTTTGTTGATGTAACTGTTGGCGTCATTAGTTGACTTCTTGTCATTGGTGCTTGCTCACTTTTCTGCCACACAAAAGTATCCTGCTGTCGAATTGTTTTACAATCATTCCAAAATGGGAAACGGAGCTACAGCCATGCGACAGAACAAAACTGCTGTGAGAAAAAAAGAATTCTGGTCAGGGTGACACTAATGTTCAAAATAGGTGGTCATGACTGTATCTCATCCCTTTAGAATTCTGTTTAATGAAGCAATTGGTTGACATTGTTAATTTTCCGATTGCCGATTGCGGCAATTCAGTGGAATAACCATCCCCAAATGTCGTCCCACAAAAAACCCGAGTGACTCCTGCCCTTCACGCCGCCTGAGCCCTTCTCTGCTTATCTTGATCTGGCAATAAGCGATGACAAAAAACGACATTAGAGAGAAAGAGTGACACAAAGACGGCTATAAAGTGTCAGGTACGATGACGGAGGCAAATATATGGGTGCCGAGATCGGAATCCAAGATGAGGGAAGCGATAGAGCGACGGCTGCCACGGGGGCATAAACGAAATAAGAGGAGAAAGAGCATGATGAGAGGATGGAAGTGATAGATAGTGAAAGACCAGCGGCGGTGGTGGCAGATTAGACGCCAAACATTTGAAACGATGACCTTAAAAAGGGGCACTCGGGTGGATGCAAAAACCTCAGGGCGAGACGACTTTAGTTGGACCTCATGTTGCGTTTTTCATACGTTTCACAACGGGAACGGGTTGACGTCATTGTTTGTCTCATTGCTTGTTATCTTTGTTCTGTGCCGTGTGATGGTCCTCAATCCTTGATTGGATGTTTGTTTTCTCATCAGGTTCTCATTGCTGTCTCGCCCACCCCTTTTTTGTGCATCCTTTCTTCTCTTTGTCTCTCACTTTCTCCTCTTTCATCACCTCGCGCATCTGCCCCGGCGCGTGCCACCCCCCCAAAAAAAAACGTGCGTCTCTCTGCGTTTGTGTCCGTCATTCGCTCTGCTTGGCTACCTGCCTCTCTCTTTGTTGCTGTCAGCTTGGACTGATGCTTCCTTTTTTCTTTCTCGCGTGTCAAGTGTTTCTCCAGCTGTCAGAGTTTCTCTCTTTCTGTAAGTCTCTGTCGCAGTCTTTGTAGCATCATTTCTCTCTCTCTCTCTCACTCACTCTCGTGTGCATGTGCAGCTTGATCTCAAAGGAATTCAGAAGGATTTCATACGGAAGCGTATAGACCGTAATTAGAAAGGTGCGGGGCATGTTTTTCAAGATGACATGGTGTCTTCATACATTTTCAACTAAATTCTCCTGAGATCACGCTGGCACGTGACATGCATGTATGGTCACGCTTGGGGTGGATGTTTGTTTGAACTGCATGCCAAACAAACATGTGACAGTGCAACAGGGAAAACTTTTCAACCACAATAACAGAGAAAAGTGTCAATGACTCATCTGACCTTTATTTAACCTAAAAAAAAAAAAAAAAAAAAAAAAAAACGCCTGGCCTAGTGTCAACAAGCTTGAACGCTACTCACAACTGTCGTATTGTCAGAAACTTGGAAGGTGAATTGTTGATTTTCAAGCGAATGCGATTGTGTCTCAGGTTCCCTCAGAAGACTGGGGGGGCGGATACGGCGGCACAGACGGCGGCGGTGAGATTCCCTGCCGTCGCATGCGCAGCGGCAGCTACATCAAGGCCATGGGCGACGACGACAGCGCCGATTCAGACAGCAGCCCCAAAGCCTCGCCCAAGTCCACCCTGATCGCTCAGAGGGATGCCTTCAGACGATCCATCAGCATGGATCAAAGGTCAAACTCCGCCTACGCACTGCTTAGCATAATACTGACGCCGCAGATTCACGCTGCGATCTGTTTCGTCTGCTTTCGCCGCTCGCTGTTTGCTTTGGCTGCTCTGTTGTTGCTGAACTCTGTTCTGACATTTGTCCGTGACATTTAACGTGTCATTGTCATATTTCGAGATAAGCGTATGAATCATGGTGAGGATGGGATGAGGAGACAACAAATCCAGAGATGGCATGAAGCGGTTTGAAAACACTGATCAGTAATACAGTAGGGGGGATTCCAGAACTGGAAAACAATGTGGACACGAACATATTTGAAAATTGGGTTTATTGTATATCGTTATTATGCTTTCACAAAAACAAAGTGAATAAACAATCACATAATTTCATTCAACATGACACTCTGAAATATCTTGTCAGGTGGCGATTTGTTTGGGGAAACCTGACCAGTCAGAAAACACATTTTTCAAAAACGTTGAATAATTTTTTTTCCAGTTTAATTGTGTTTGAATATTTATTCAATATTAATGTTACTCTGTATTATTACTCCAACGACAACGGCAGCGTTGCGATTCGATGTTCGGAGTTCTCTCTCAAGCATAAAAGCTAGCTGCGTTAGCTGCTATGCTAACCGGTCAACAATAAACAGCTCAAGAATACAATAAAAAAGTGTATTTCTCCGACTTTCGGATAATGAGTCACAGTTGGGGGTGACCCATAATGCAGCTCAAAACTGAACAAACATGACGAGGACTTGCTTGACGTCAATTAGCTTGATTGTGTCATTTCTGTTCCAACTTTGGAATGACTCCCGAGTTGATTGTTTTTAACTTCAGGTATTCATGTAAGCAGTGTACGGACTCCTATCCGAACAGCCGGACAACACCCAAGTCCCACGCGCGCTCGCGCAGTTACACTCGCTCGCTGACCAGCTCTCAGGTAACGGTGACTGTGTGGCTTATTTTGAGGACGGGACGTTCGATTGATGCTTTGACTTATCTGGATCTCGCCTTTAGTTGGGAGACACCTTGGACAGACAGTTTGAGGCCGTGTGCGAGACCATGTTCGGGGAGGTGGAGTCCCAAGCGGTCGAGGCTCTGGATCTCCCGGGGGTGTTCCGCACACGTAGCCACAGCTATGTCCGCGCCATTCAGGCCGGCTGTTCCCAGGACGACGACTGTCTCTCCGTATTCTCTCTGTCTGGTCCCCAGGGAAGCGTCAAGGCGGGAGCTGGTGAGTTTCTGTGCAATTCACTCCAACAGGAGGACTCTTCCAGTCATGACTGGGAAAGTTTATTTTGAAACCAACAAATTGTCGGTTAAACAGGTCCCAGAAGGCCTTGTGTTCAACCTTAAAGTTTCCACTGTCTAAGGACGGCTTTTAATCATGTTCAGAGTGCCTCAGGAATTTGCTTTGGCGTGTCGTTTTCTGCAGTCGTCTGTGCACTCTTGAATGCAAAGCGACCAAATAACCAAAAGCTAAGACAAGCAAATCTGACAGGTTGAATTTAAGCCTCTGCCCTGTCAAGAGTCAACTCCTTCGCCCCCGCTAAACACAATCCCACCTTTGCTTACAACCACGCGTGCTCACCATATTTGAGTGCATCTGTTCAACAAATCCGTTAAAGTGGAAGAAAAGACAGGGGGGGGGGCTCATTTTAATATCTCCAAGGAAATTGTTTCATCTTTTAAATAGGTAGGCTTCAGCTTGCTTAAGGGAAAAGTCAAGTCCTGCATATCATTTAACATCATGCAAAAAAAAAAAAAAAAAAAAGCTATTTATTCTGAGCACAGGGCTTTCTATGAGTCATTTCTCAATGGTTTTCTTATTTTCCCCTCCTTCTAATTGAACCCCCTTCGTGTCATCAATATTCTACTTTGTTTCCATCCCCTCATTCTTCTAGGCTGTCCCTTTTGTAAGTATCCATCCCTGCTGCCTTTTTCTCTCAACAACCCAACTCTGCCTCTGCCTGTGTTTCCCTTTCTCCCACTTCTTTGACACTTCAGTCTTTCCTTATCGCAAAGGTGCTCCTCCCCCACTCCCACCTCGCATGTCCAAGTCTTCGCTGTCCGTGCGAGCCCAGAGCAGCACCGAGTCCAACCAGGACGCCTACTACCAGAGCAGCCACGGGCGCTCCAAACCGCACAGTAACTCGGTGGACCTGGGCTGCGCCGACGGAACTTCGGGACGCTCTTCCAGAGTGGGCTATTACGCAGCCACGGGCCCGGGGCGTTCCCGGCAGCACAGTAACTCAGCAGAGAGCCTGGATGGAGGGATGAGGGGCTCGCGGGAGATGGTGCCCTACGGAGGAGGTCCGGGAGTCGGCGTGCGGGCCAAACACAGCAGCTCAGCTGACAGTTTGCTGGAGGGGCCGCCCAGGGCGGCCCGGGAGAGGGACGGTCGGGTTGGGGGAAGCCTGGGGAAGTCGGTCTCCCTGCCACAGAACAGCATTGTTTTGAGTAAAGCTGGAGGGCAGGACGACGGATGCGGTGGCAGGAAATGGAGGCCGTCCATCGCTGTGCAGGTGAGGAAGACTCTCTGGTCTCTGGCTTCATGTATCCAGCAGAGAGACCCGGTCCGGTTCATTAAGCGGGGTACGTTCCAGAGGTGGAAATAGCGTTACCTCTATCAAAACCGTTGAACGCATTTAAACACCACACAAAAAATGGAATCACTCTTTTAAAAGTATTCCTTAGCAATTGCTCTCATGATCTCGCACGCACACACACATCTCCAAATTAGAGTTAAAGCGTTCTTTCTTCAAGCCGTTTGTCACTCCTAGCTGAGGTTTATTGTAAAACCAAACAACACAAACAAAACAAAACAAAACAAAAAAAAAAGAATTCAATTTGACTTAAATACCAAAATTATAAAAGCCAACTGATCTGACAAAAGTCCTCTCGCTTAATGCTAACGTTTGAATTGCCACAGAGAGGCTCGTGTACGTCGGCATGGATGTAACAGAAATTCGAAACTTTCTGACTGCTACTTAAGCGCCCACGGAGCAGCAACACATACAAGCGCAATACTCACAGGCATACCGTATATTCCCTCTGCTCTGTGGGAGCAACGACATGACTGGAGCTCAATAGGGGACCTTCTCCGCCTCTTCCTCTATCTTGACTTGTCCTTCAAGAGCTCAGTGCTGCCCCGGCGTGTTTTGGAACAACGCGGTATTAAATCGAGAATGAGAAGTTCTATTTGATAAAAGTATACCATAAAAAAAAAAAAAAGTCAGTCCATCTTTACAGGAGACTCGATCAATTACACAATTGTGTGTCATTTATCAGTTGATTGGCTTCCTAGCGTGTAATTGCTGGAAACATGACATGCATGACATCCAAATGCATTGACCTCAGACAATAGGGAAACATTCTGTTGCTTCCTTTGCCAAGAGAGAAATGAGATGAGTGATTAGATCGGCGTCTGGCACGGCAGCTGTGTTTGTCATCCCCAGATCGGAGTTTACTTATGATGCATACCAAGCGCACATTTTTGGCTGACTCATATCCAACCTTTTTTTAGAACGCATTTTCCCCATTAGCATAACTCGTGATCACAACCCACCTGGGCCTTCTCTGGAGTCCTGCCTTCATTAGCCTCCCTGCGAATGCCGTCATGATCACACCGTAGTCAAGATCGACGACGCTACGAACGAACGTCTTGCAGTCAGAATCAATGTCAGCACCAACGCCACAAAACCTTCAAGTTGTCAGTCATTTCTGCTTCGCTACTAAAAATGACGGATAAACGACGTACGCGTCGTACTGGTGAATAAATTCAGTGAGTTGCCACGGAGGCCATTTCATGGACGGTGTCATTTTTTTTCTTGAAGTAACAATGGCCACAACAAAGGCGTTAGATACACAAAAAAAACTAAGTATAGCTGATCCGATTACGGACACAACACTCATATTCTTGATTCGGTTGAATCTAATTGACTCTTTGCCTGATTTTTTTATTTGGGGAACATTTCCTGCCATTTGCTTGAAAGAAAAATACGAACCGATTCAAAATATGAAATTCACAGAAAGTTTTCGCGCCAGGTGGGCATTGCCAGTATGTGGCTGTGGTTTCCCTGGAATAGGATCGTGCTCTTTCTCCTTCATTCCAGGTTGACAGCTCAGAAACTCTGTCCGATTCAGACGCGGATGGCAAAGCTGTGACAGAGGTTCATTCAATCGGAGTGCAGGTGGAAGATGACATTTCCAGTATGTGCCTGTGGTTTCCCTCGAATAGGATTGTGCTCTTTCTCCTTCATTCCAGGTTGACAGTTCAGAAACTCTGTCCGATTCAGACGCGGATGGCAAAGCTGTGACAGAGGTTCATTCAATCGGAGTGCAGGTGGAAGATGACAAAAGGTAACGGCAAATTATTCACCGCCTTACTGATTGCTTACGCTCGGCACACGGCATCGAACACTTAGTGAAAGCATAAAATTGACTCACATGAAGTCCCCAAAAATACGGAGCTTCGACCCTCAGCATCATCATCATCATCATTTGAATGCATAATTTACAAAAGCCTTTATTTTCGTCAGGGCCCCCCAACGGCGCAAACACCTTTGGTTGATTTCACCAAAAGATTCTATTTAACATTTCATCAGACATCACAGCTTGAAGTCGATAACGCCTTGTGGCTTTTTCCAACCGCGAGCGTGCACTCCTACCGCGACGGTTTCGCGCGTGCGGTGGCCTCGAAGCCTTTGGTCAGATTCACGCATCAACACAGCGTCCCACGCAAGCGACTGAGCGGTGCACGTGTCCTGTTGTCATCGGGTATGATGGTGTCACACCTCAAACTGTCACAGCACGGACGAGGGGGCAGGGGGGGCGAGATGTAAATGACAACATCCAGTGACGTGCACTCGTTTGTCATATGCCAGATGATTTAACGGGACTTTACCACGAGTGAGAGAGCTGTATTGGCAGAAATCGCAGTGCTCACTGCTGAAATTATCCGGAAGGGATAAAAAAATACAAATGTAGTCTTTTGCGTGTGATGGCACTGCGTAACGGATTGGCTCCGGGCCTGCTGCGACTTCCCTGTGTCACAGACGGGCCCGTTTCAAGCGCTCCAACAGCGTGACGGCGAGCGTGCAGGCCGACCTGGACCCCGAGGGCTTCCCGGGGCTGAGCGTTGCCGTGCCAATGCAGGACAAGAGTCTCCAGTTCGGTTGCTCCTTCCAACGGCATTCATCGGAACCGGAGTCAGCTGGCCAGTTCACGGAATGCCACCGCACCGTGCATACGCAGGGACAGTGGGCTTATCGAGAGGTACGTGTGGCCATTGAACCACAATATATCGTCATCTGTCGTTGGCTCTTGTGTTTGCCAACTTTTATCGAGTCATGAGGAAAAAAAATTCACAGCACAACATCCCAAAAGGTGAACGGCAAAAAAAAAAAAAAAAGCCATGAGCGAGTAAACTGGTGACCCGCACTATTCTTTTGGATGGACGCGAGACACGGCCAGTGTGAAAAGCTGACCCGAGGAAAATACTGTAGGCTATTCCATCAGCAACCCTGCGGCAGAGATGCAAACTTCGTGCTCTCTTCGCTATTGTCCTTCAAAATCATCCGGTCAGGACTCACACCGATCCCCCGGTGAGGTCCTGCAAGCGACCCTACCGCCAATCGGACAAAGGCGGTTGGGTAGGCAGCTCAAGACATCGACAACCACGCTCAAAGGGGATCGCTAGCCGGCATCAATGGATCGATCCCAAGATGGCAGCCTGGACTGCTACGACAGAGAATGGCAGACCGTCGAGTGGGATGTGGTGCAAGACCACCGCGCTTGCATTGCGCCTGTTCAGGCCGGTTCATGCCGGTCGGCTAAAACCGGATTGGGTGAATGCCATTTTAACAACAACACTAGACTGGTTCATGAACTAAATCGGTGCAACACAATACTCTTTTCCAAAGACTGTCCATAGAAATGCTTGTTGTGACCGGCCGCTATATGACGACAGTGAACTTGACCGATTGCCCGTTTATCGGCGTCATCACTCCAGGACTTTATCCAGAGTGGCTACACCACAGAGGCTTGCCCAGGAGACCCACGGTCGCACCAGCATCAGCACCTTCCTCCGCGTTCCCATTCGCCACTCCCCCTCACATCAGAGCGAGGGTGGGCGGGGACGCCCTCCTTGGAGGGTCCCCGGAGCCTGCCCGACTCGGGTCGAGCCTCCCCCTGCATGAGGGACGGAGAATTCTTCTTGCGCCTCCTGCAAACGGAAGTGGAGAGGATGGAGGGCTGGTGTCAGAACATGGAAAGGGAGGCTGAGGAGAACGAACTCCCAGAGGAGAGTGAGTTTGTGGAGAGCGACCTTTGAGATCATCGCAGAAATCAATTGCTGGATTCAACTTCATTGTTTGTTCTTGTTTTTTTTTTTTTTTTTTTGGTTTTTTTTTAAAATCATCTCCAGTTCTCGAGCTGATTCGCAATGCAGTTGGCAGTGCTCAGATGCTCATGTCTCAGAAGGTTCAGCAGTTCTTCCGTCTCTGCCAACAAAGTGTGGTGAGTTTGAGTGATTGCATATGATGCCCTGACAGCAACTTGACATATGCCCAAGACATTTTTTTTTTTAAAACATCTGTGGTATATTCAGTCATTGAACTTATCACTAATCTTGTCTCCTTGCCCACCCCAGGACCCGTCTAGTTACCCCCAGCCCACCTCTCAGGACCTAGCAGGCTTGTGGGACCTACTTCAGCTCAACATAGAAGACATCCGGGTCAAGTTTCAGGATCTCCAGAGGCTCAAAGACTCTGGCTGGAAACCCCCCGTAGAAAAGAAGGTGAGCCAAACCACCTCGGTTTCCTTTCAGCGCTCCCCCAGAGCTAAACTGGCAAAGTGCAGGAGACTCCCGCAGATGTCCTCACTCCCGTCACAGGTTGCGAGAATGCAAAAATCACAATCTGAACTGAACTGAGCTCCAACCTTAAATGTACTTTATACAGCAGGGAGGGCGTTGTGTTGCAATCTCTAGAATGGTTAAGGTGCTTCACTAATTTGCTCTTCGTACTGCAAAACTAACCATCGTTTCTCTTTTCCTCTTTGTCCTTCACATCATGTCATTGACCATTCGTGTTCTTACCCCACCGTTCCCTTTCCTGACCCAATGAACGCAACAACCCCAATTTTTTTTCAATCCCTCTCACGCAACCAAACAAAACTATGTCACCACGCACACCCGTTGCCGCCTTCAATGTGCGTGTCACCGTCGCTGGGTTCCAGGAAGACAAGAAGCTTCCTCCTCCCTTACCAAAGAAGCCGGCGGGCGGGGTGAGTGGCAGCCTCCGGGCAGATAGCGTCGGTGAAGGAGGGGGCGGAGGCGGGTCGGGGGGCCTGGTGGTGCCTCGTGTCGGGGGACACACCCTACCGCTGAGGGAGAAGTCTCTGGACCTCGTGGACCGTCAGAGGACAGAAGCAAGGAGGAGGCTGCTACAGACCAAGCGTACTGCCTCCTTCAGGCAAAATTCGGCCACAGAGAGCGCAGACAGTATCGAAATCTACATTCCCGAAGCCCAGACTCGACTCTGAAATCCACCTCAGCCATTTCACTCTGACCAGTGACCCGGACCTTTGCAGCTCTGGATTATCTGCAGGTCATTTTAACTCCTCCCCTTCCTCTAAGACGAGATCATTCCCATACACTTCCCATTACTCTCAATTCCGTTCGCAAGCAGTAACAGCCATTTGGGTGTCTTGAAAATTGCACATATTATTGGCACAGAGGCCTAAAAAAAAAAAAAAAAAAGTAGGGGTAGCAAACGGATAAGAATCATCGCCTATTTATATAGTTATTTATGCATTTATAGTTTTGCTGAGGACAAACAAGAAACACCCCTCTTTTTGTTACGGTGAATTGCTGAGGCTCTCGCCCTGGTTCGTAGCATGCCTGGTCATGTTCACCCAGCACTTGTACATCACTGAAAATAAAGGGCTTATTAACAGGCACAAAACCTCCACGACGGGAGATGATGAGACTTCACCTATTCCTGTTGCCACCCTTGGACATTCGTTGGCTGTGATTTGCCCCAGCTACATGTATCCATACTCTTCTCTGACACTGCCAGGATGGAGAACGAGCCACGCCCTGATGGTTCGCTGTCCCTGCCTATTCTTCGCACCGGATTTTGTTTGCTTTAGCATCGATCACATTCATGAAAAAGAGCATCTGGACCACACTTGGGGTGGAAAAAAAAAAAATTATGTGAAATACTGTCTTGCGAGAAATGAGTCGTAATGGGACGAGAGCAGCCATCGTCTTTGGAGGAAAAGGTCACGGCACATGAATAAAGTCGGGATGTTCGGAGAATGGTCCTATTTTGGAAGAAATATCCGAGTCAAAATATGAGAATGAAGTTCTCGATGTAATGTGACTTTATTCTTGTCAAAGGACTATTTCACCTCTCAAATTTAGACTTCTAATAATACAATTGTATTCCGCTTAATATGCAAATCTATAATTCCATATTTTTTTTCTTCCCCAGTGAGGCCCACATTCTCCTTTCAACGCCAGATTTTCTTGAATGAACAGTTGCTATTCTGTCTGGAGTGTGCACGCTCATTCTTGCCAAACGGAGCATTTGCAGGGTCGCATCAGAGCTTTGACAGCAAGGGAGCATCACAGGCCACAAAAATAGTCACGTTCGATTGGCTGAAGTGGCTTCTCAGGACTCCACCGAGGGGAGACGGGGAGGGCTCCATTTCACTGTGAGGTTAGAGCACCACCAAGTGGTCAATTTCGGAAAAGCAGCAGACCGAACAAGATGCCCTTACGAAAACAACCAGACATGACAGAAAGAAGTGGTTGCCCTTGACCTGCTCTTGCCCATCAAAAAGTGAATATTGACTCGACTCAATAGTTAAAAGCAAGAATGGCATATCTTATTTATCCACATGAGGAGCCTCAGCTTGGGAAATTGCTTCCAAAGAGAGTGGTCACAAGATGAAAAGGAAGCTGCTGGGTCGCGGGTGTCTTTGGATGAGATTGACTTTTGGCTCTTTGGTGTTTTGACGAAAAGAAAGTGCAGCAGTGTAGCATGACTTGGCTCATTGTGTTCGGTGTCATGAAAAGAAAGTAGGGACACGTTTGCATTGTCAATATTTTGTATGGACGTTTTGTACGACGACGCTGATGCGGTGTAGCGGCCACCTACTGGAAAAGTGAAGTGATGAAAAGACCAATGAAATTCAGCCATTAGCATGATTTTCTTTCCTCCGAATACCTGAATGGAACCTGGCAAATATTTTAACAGGAGATGTATATTTTATATATAACATAATCTAACATTTATAGATAAACAGAGACTATTGAGTACAGTGTACAAAGAGGCCTATATCAAAATGTGACATATTATGATAACGATGATAATTACGGTTATGTAGACATGTGTGACACCACTGCTGTGCGGCATATCCGGGCACACGTGAAAAGATGACCGAAGTGCTGGGTCAGATTCACAGGGTTTAAAAAAAAAAAAAAAACATTGTGAGTTGCCAAGTTGAATCCTCTGGAGCTTTTACATCTTCAAATTACATATCTTCACCTGTCATTCTCTCCTTCCCTCTATTTCCACTTCCGAAACCAACGACATGTGCCTAACCAGCTATGTGTGGACGTTACTGTTCAAGTTTACAGCGTGCACGTCTGTGAGACGTGTACGTACGAAAGGAGCGAATGTTGAGAGATGAGCTTCAAGGAAAAATGTTTCATTGTAATTTCAGGCCCTCCCTTGTCACCCCTCACTAGGACTATGTCTGGACTATTTTCTGTTGGCACTGCATGTTTTGAAAGAGAGTAGCCAGCAGACGAGAGCTCATGTTTGTAGCTTTCAAAATCTTTGTACAGGAGCTCCTTAAGAGACAACATTAGCGGCAAGGGACAAACGTGCTGAAGCAAAGGTGAGACCTGAAGTGGTGCCGCAGTACCCAACTTGACAACATCTGAGTGGTGGTTGAGGCTCATCGAACAAAGCACAAAGACCTGCTTTTTTTTTTTTTAATATACTCTTATGCCACTGTGAAGGACTCCTGACTGATCTTTTCATCGCGGGGATTTATCCACAGTAGCAACTTGTTCTTCACTTCTCAAGCGGAGCCTTGAGTGAATCACATATAGCTTTGTTTTTTTGTTTTTTTAAATAATATATTGCCTATTCCGCTCTATGTGAACAGTGCAAGGACTCTTGCGATGAATTGTGAGGTCTCGCCAAACACACCAGACCGACTACGCCACAGACCACCTGTCACCTCTTCCTAAAAGTGCAAAAAGCCCACATTCAGAGCCAGACGAAAAAACCCCCGAGTACCTCAGCCTTTGCGACCCGGGCCTCTGTCCTCAGGGGATTCTCCATACTACAACACAACTGACAAAAAAAAAAAAAGACAAAAAACCAAGGACAAACACAATCGAGTGCTTTTTAAAACTGGTGATATCGGACAATTTGCTGCGACTGGAGAGCGGACAAGGCGGACGCAAGTGTATTTTTGTGAACGAGGGGTCTTGCAGCTGCAGATTTGAGTTTTTGGTGGACATTTCTATGAGGCTGCTCTGATGGTATTCATCGTCCTAAAGGACTTTTTTTTTTCAACATTTGATTTATATCCCTTACAAGGGGCTGGGTTTTGACTTACTCGTTTATACTACAATTGTTTTCAGTTGTATTATCTTATTTCTTTTAATAGGAACAATTAATAAATACAAGTTAGTCTTCATAGGATCTCAGCAAAAGATCAAATTGACTCGAAAATGGCAATTTCAAAATAAAACGTCTTTTGGGGCGTGGGTTCTCTTTTTCACGGCTGAGAAAAGCCCTCAAAATTTTGATTTATTTGGCCACAGAAATGGAAGAATTTCACGAGAGACCTGCATGGCTAACTAATAGTTGCTGCCAAAAAAAATATCACCTTTTTTGTTTTGTTTCTCATAAATTGTATGCATTACACAATTGGGCCATGTAAACGTAATTGTATGCGTTATACAACCATGTTTACTTGTCCTATTTGGACATTTTATTACCCGCAGAGCAGCCAAGAGACATGAAACTGAAACTCCAATGTGCCTTTCGCACTGGGGTGTACTGACTGGTGTGTATCAACACTGGAACGCTTTTCTTGAAAAAAAAGGAAAAAAATGTAAATACATGTTGCCAACAAACATTGTGCTACTCAATATCACATATTGTTAATGCAATATGATTATTAGTTGTAGGATGGTTATTGCCATTAAAAGGGGGTTTCATGATTGCCACCGCTCTCCTTTTTAGAAACTTATGATATCTAGCGAGCGGTGAGTCTTGTGTACAATCACTAGCTTTACGTGTTAGGACGTGTCTCAAAAAGCGCTGCTAGGATGGACAACAAAGGGACTCTTGGAAGACATATTTCTTCCTAGGATCAATGATGGACACAAGGAGTGAAGGATCACTAAAGAGGGCGGAGTCAAGATTTTGGTTTCCTTTTGAACTCCCATCCAGGGAAGGAGGAACATGTGAAACTTGCGGATTTCCCACTGTCGTCCACGATATTATGTAGCAAAAGCGAAAATGTCCTCTGCCCCCCCATCCCCCCCCCGCCCACCCTGTTCCATCATCTCGCCCCAAACACCAGACGGGTCTTACGCGCCGAGCTTTTCTTGTCTTTCAGCTCGGCTTCTTCAGTTGAATACAGTGCCAAGACAACATCGTGTATATAGAAACATTCTTTTTGGCCGTTGTTGTCATTTGAAAAGAAATGAGTGGAGCACATAGCAATACCATTGGAATATAAATGTCTCATAAATCCGGAGAAGGTGGCTCAAGAAGATGCATGCTTGAGAAACACCACGGCGACGTGAAGATGTATTGGTTGGGATCATGGTTCAGTTTGTTGTGTTGTGGGTCTCATTGTGTACATTACCATACCAGTTTGTACTATTTACTGTTTAAAAAAAAAAAAAGTCATGGCTCTGGATGTGTCCAAAGAGCACATCTGAAAGCCCAGAGAGATGGCACACTGTGACGTGGTTTATACCCCAACACAGAATGTAACACGGTCTACGTTGTCGAAACATTTTCTAAAGGCTAATATTATTACTATTAATATGATGATTACTATAAAGCTATTTTAGCCAGTTAAACGAGCCTGCCGTGTCTTTGTTTGTCTCCATTTAAAATCTTTCTGCATTTTTGAGGTCCTTGCATTCTATTAGTTCACCGCGGGTGCATTTTCCTCCAAAAAAATCCCTTTGAAAACAGTTCTTGCACGTTCCAAGTGTGGTTTCACAACTGCATGACTTCCCCAGTTAGGTAAATTTCTGTTCCTCGAATAAACAGTGGTTGGAAATATTTTCATTTTTTTTATTTTTGAAAAACAGTCCAAAAAAAAAAAAAGACAGCATTGCGTTTCAGTCATTGAATTATCAAAATGGTTTTGACCATTTTGTCACCATGCAACAAAGAAAGAAGTGAAAAGGAGTGTTCATAATGTCATTAATAGTGCGGGGTCGAGCCCAAACGTCAAACGGATTTTCGGATCGCTGCGTTTTAGACTTTGGACCATGCAATGCTGAATGTTCACTTGACGCCGTCCAGTTTGAGGGTCCAGGCTTGTCCTGCAGTGCAGGGGAGTTCAGGTAAAGCAATGGCAAGGCCGGCATTGGGCTTGATAGGTGACCAAGATAAAGGCTTTGGGTTCCCCAACAACATCACCTGGATGACAGGCAACAAGGCAGGTTTGGTCACTGCTTGGTTAGCTTGCCGACCAATTTGTGGATAGCGCTTGAATGCAGAATTTTGCCAACATTACAACATTGTTAACTCGGTTTTTACCTTGGTGTTGGCTGATGTTTTGGGTTCCAAAAGTTGCACAGTGCTCTTGGGGGGTTTAGTTGTCAAGATGGCAAAAATACTGTCCCCTTTGGATGTATACCTAAACCAACAAAAAAAAAATGTACTTCAATTAGTGCATTGGGACACATTCTCCCAAGAACTTTTCATTCAAAAGCTATCTGTCATATTTCTGTTTTTTGCTAAGCTTACACTTGGTTTTGTTTCATAGTTTTGTTTGTGCTTTTTTTTTTCTTCCTCGTTTGGTTTTATTTCCACATGTTCTTGTCATTTAGGTCCCTTGTGTCAACCAATCAGCTTCCTCAACCCTTTGCGTCTTGTCCAGGTGTTCCGTGTTGTCTTGTCAGCTTGCTTGTATTTAGTTACGAGGTTCTTTGTTGGATTGCTGTGCTACTGTCATGGTTTTTTTTTGTTTGTTTGTTTGTTTGTTATTTTGGTTAATTAGAGTTTTTCAGGACTTTGTATGTGTTTTTTTTTTGGTCAACACATTTTGTTCAGTCCTTCTTGGTTCTCCTGCCGACCCACTTTTTGGTCCTTACCATCACGCACACATAACACCATCACACCTAAATTTTACCGTTTTTCTAGTGACATGATCTTCACTCCACACTGGAAAAATTATATATATGGAAGACAACCTGTGTCAAAACTGACTAAACATGCTCAATTTTATGAAATGACGTCATGAATTAATGAAAACTTTGTGCCTCTATTAGAATGGAGACCACTATTTGAGGCAATATTGTGATTCTGTTCTCCTTGCTACCTACCATACTGGCACAGAGGCATTTTCCATCTGGACCCTCCAAGGTTTGGAGGCGTAGACAGCTTCCCCGTTTACATAAAGCCAAGCGCCGACTCCCCGCAGCCGCTCTTCAAACAACGCTGGGATCATTCCATCAGGAGTGGGGCCCACATTTAGGAGGTAGTTACCACCCAGCGCCACAGTGTGAACCAGATCCTGAGCAGCAAGCAAGAGAATATGTCAGAGCGCATTTTAGAAGGACTGATTATATGCTTGGCTTGAATGTGATCACCTCTATGATGGTGGGCAGGTCCATCAAATCACTCATCTTCATGTTCCTACGATAGCCCCAGGAGAGCGTGTCTACAGATGTGCATTTCTCCCACTTATGTGCGGGCAGCTGACCTGGAGTATACTTGTCTTCACAGTTGTAGTAACCTCCATGTTTACATGCACAGCCAGCTCCCCACCTGTCATTGGTTACCACTGTATCCTATGAAATGGACTACATGAGTTCATCAAATGAAAAAAAAATATATATATATATATATATCGAGAGAGAGAGGATGTGATACTGGCGCATACTTTAACAGGGCTATCGTTGTAGAGCCAGGCAAGAAATTGCGTGGAGTTCCAGTATGTGTCAGGTGCCTCCCAGTCTCCATCAGACCAGATCACTTCAGGTCTATACCTGCAAGAGGGATGCTGAAATGTACTCAAGGCTGCACCTACGGTCAGTGTTCATTCATAGATAGACAAGTGTAGATGAAAATGACGTCACCTTACAACCATGTTATACAGCTCTGGTAATAGCTTGTGAAGTACAAATTCCTGTGTTTTAAATCCATTCTGCTTGTCCATCAGGTAAAGAGGGTGGAACCACTCGTAAAGGGAGTTGTAGAGTCCAAAGTGCATCGACCTGAATATGGAAATATAATTCCTCACTGGAGGCAAGTGGAATGAAAAGCAGCAAAACTACATTCAATCTTGTTGCTTGAAAGGAATCCGACTTTACAGCGAAGTAGGTGAGAACATACCGCTTCCGCACAGCTTCCCCCAATTCTCCGACGAGGTCTTTGTGTGGACCGGTATCAACAGAATTCCAGTTCCAGGAGTTGGGAGATTCCCAGTTGGTAAAACCTTCGTGATGTTTGGCTGTCAAGACGACATATCTTGCGGGAACAAACATAAACAACAAGACAGAGAAGTGATGCAACAGTGGTTTGAGTGGCTCAAAGTATAAACTGAATTCATATTTACTTTGGGGTTGCAATTGGGAGGGTGGTGGTATTATGCTGTGCCCAAACAGAACCCCAGTTCGAAATACTTACTTTGCTCCAGAAGCGTTGAATATATTCGCCCATTCCTCCGGCTCAAAGAACTGAGCGTGAAACTCGTTTGCAAACTCCGGGTAGCGGAATCCTGGCGGATAATTCTTGTTCATGTAAGCCACGCAATTGGGATCCGGTGGTTTCTGACCTTGCCAGTGCCACCAGAACCACTCGCTGTCAAATGCGGGCACGGAAAACACGCCCCAGTGAATGAAGATGCCCACCTTTGCCTCGTCGTACCAGGAGGGCAGCGGTCGGGTGTCCAGACTAGTCCAGTCTGCCGTATAGCGAGCTCCGGACGCCAACGTGACGAGTGCAAGGACGAAAGTTAAGAAAATCATCGTGACATTTAGGCTATTTGTGCTGTAAGTTAAACCATCAACAGCCCAATCGGTTACGAATAATCTTGCTCGCGTAGCAGTAATTTACGTTGACAGTTCTTGTACAGTAGTACAGTACAGTATTCGGGAGAGTCGCGTGACTTCTCCGTTATGACGAATTTGTGCTCCAATCCAATTCAGTGTCACTTAGCGTCCTCTAGCGAGAGGAAAGATAACTGTATTAAGATGAACTGATTCACAACATACACTCAGAATTCAAGTCAGGTCAACTATATTGTCAGATATGCTCGATGTGCAACATACAGCACAAATGAAATTTCTTTCCTCTCAACCACAGTGCAACCACAGGAGAGAGAACAGAAAGAGAATTATTTACTTTCTCATCCTTAATGGCATTGCACGTGGCTCTGCAGTCATCTACTTTTTTCCTCATTTGCGTCTTCAACGACTTTGATCCCAAATCGCCGACAGATGTAGACAAACGTTTTTTTAAAAAAAATCACCTTTTATTTGCAATGCGGTTCGTCGTTTTATTTTTTTCTGTCAAAACATAAATCAAGTTCAAAGTAAAAACACTTGTCCAGTAGAAGTGAAAATAGTCCATCCAAAAGAAAAAGTAGTTGGCGTCGGTGATCGGGATGGTTACGATCCTCATGAACATTCTGATCCCTGCAAGGTCGTGGCAACGGCGCAGAACGTCTCACTGGAACTAAGGGTAGCGCCATCTTGGCGCAAACAATCCTGGCTTTTACTACTCGTTTCCGGTCCGGTGTTGTTATTGTTTGCCAAGTCAGTCGCCAATGTATCCTTCTTTTGAGACGACGAGCTCTCGACAGGGGTCCTTTTGCCTTTCCCGTACCGAGATCCCACGTCCCGACGGGAAGTCTTCCAGGTGTATCCCAGCCGCTTCAAGACCCGCTGGGTAGTTTTGATAGAAATGGGCTTCACCGCGGTGCAGTTGTACAACCTCTGGATCTCCGTGATGGACGCCTGGTTGTTGGCCTCCACCACTCGCTCCATTTGCTTCTCTCCTAGCTCGTCGACGAAGGGTTTCCTGCGGCGACCGCGCTCGCTGCGGGTCTTCTTTTTGGAGCACCAGTCCCTGTACACTCGGGACACGGCCGTCTTGGAGAAGCCCAGCTGGTTGACCGTTTCCGAGATGCTGCGGCCGGCGATCCGGATACCGACGATCATTCCCCGCTCGAACTCGCTTAAATCCCGTGCCTTGCCCATCTGTTACCGTCTGGGTGCGGGTCCCTGCACTGTGAGGCACCGCAAAGTCCCCTCAACCTACCTTGTGCCTCTTGTTTTGATGCCAAGTAGTGAAGTGTCGGTCGCGAACGAGCCGGTGCAAAGAGCCGGCTCTTGTAAGTGAACGATGAGAGCCGCCACCCTCCCTCGAGAACCGGCTCTGT